ATGTATTATATATTACTTTCATTTGTTTCCTTTAAGTATAACAAAAAATTTCGATATAATCAATCAAAAATTATGATAAAAATTTGCATCCTTTCTTTCCCATTCCATTACTTATTCTTTTTACTTGTTTTTTTTTTATTCTTCTTGTTATACTCTCCTTTCGTTAAATTCTTTTAACGTTACATAACGTGTAAGCTTTATTATATCGTGAAAATAATTCCAAGATCGATTAAAAATTATCGTTAAAAGATATTTCATAAACACATTAAACGTATATCTCTATACCAATCATACAACCAATCACATTAGAATATTTCCTCCTTTCGTATGATTTTTAACATAAGACCAGGAAAAACTGAAATAATTCATTCTAAAACGACTATTATATAGAAAGTTATAATTAATCGATCACACTAATTATCTCTCTGTGTAATAAAAAAAGATAAAAAAAGAAACTTTTCCTCTTGATATTACAACTTTCATCTCACGTAAACACATTGACATTTAAAATTGAATCTGTATAAAAAATAAAATAAAAATTAAAAATACACGAACAAAATATCAAAGGTTCTCCTACTCCCCTCCTACCTCATTGGGTATAAAAGATTGGTCAGCAGAAAAAAAAAGAAAAAGGTCATGGGGAAAAAAAGAAAGACAGAGATGATGATGATGATCATCAATCGTTCCAAAATCGTTTGGATAAAACTTGGTGTAATGAACAACGAAGACAAAAAAAAAAGCAAACAGAAGGAAGGGKGGGGGGGACAAGTGATTGGGTAGGGAATGGGGGAAAGGGGGAAAGGGGGAATAGAAGAGGATTAAAAAGAAGATGAGTGGGTGATAGTGGTAGTGGTGGTGATGGTGGTGGTGGTGGTGGAAATGGAAGTGAACAAGCTTTGTAGGAGAAAGGAAGAGACCGTGTTCTTGCATTATGGTATCTCGTTCGACAAGTTGAATTTTCTGTTTATACGAGTATTACGTTCCCAACTAAAACTAGTCAGCTAGCTAGCAAGTGTTGAAGGAAACGAATGAACTAACGAAGGAACGAACGAACGAACGAACAGTCGCATTCGTGCGTTCGTAGTATTAACAGCATCGTTTGCTGCTCTTCTGCCGATTTTTTAACACGTGAGTGTACGTGTGTGTGTATGTGGGTGGACGTGTATGTCATTTTTTTAAATAAAAATAAATGTTGGGATCTGGGGGGGGAGGAAAAGAAAAGAATATAGAAATAAACTAGTGATATAATTATATAGGGAAATGTTTGTTTGTTTGTTTGTGTTAGAAATTATTTAACGTTCGTGTATAATTTGTTTGTTTGTTTAATTTGATATATTTGAGAACAATTTTTTTGTGTACAATTATTTTTTGATTTAAGAAGTGGATTTAAGAAGAAGAAGAGTTTTTTTGTTATTGAATTATTTTGCTTTTTATATAATTCGTTGAATTATTATAATTGATGAGAGAAACGTTTATGGAAATGAAAACTTTCGGAGAAAATTGATCGGAAATAATAATAATTTATATTTTTCTTCCTTTTTTATTTGTGAGTTTGGTTATAAGAAGAAAAAAGGGAATTTAGAAAGATTTGATATAAATTTATGATGAATATTATAATGAACTATATATACTAAAACTATTTTGTGATGATTGGAGAAAATTAAAGAAATAAAAATCATAAAAAGAAATTTCTAAAGTTAGAAATAAAATAAGAGAAAAAGAAGAAGTGGAAGAGGAAGAAGAAGAATGAGAAGAAAAATCAAATAACCGGTTTTGCTGTTAGACATCTCTCAGTGTGTTCAACGGTGAATATGAATGAAAACGAAGTAGGAAAAGAATTTGATAAATGAACGAAATCTTTTTTTCCAAACCGATTTTGAATTTAACTTTTATTACCGATGATAACACAATCTAAAAGAGAAAGAGATAACGAATCTAAAAGATAAAAAAAACTGGTAGACGCTGAGAAAGAGAATAAAAATGAAGTAATAATAAGGATAATACTTAATAACGATTAGGCCTTCGGAAGATTGGCGAATAACGAAAATTGCAAGATTTGTCTGAAAGCTGAAAGTAGCAGCAGCAGCAGCATGATCGTTGGGGAATAATAAATCAGCCAAAAAAAAAAAAGAAAAAAAGAAAAGGAAGAGATAAAAACTGAAAAGAGAAAGGAAAGGAAAGAATTCTTGGTAAAATCTTCTCGGTGGAATTATTCGGCTTCTGAGATAGCGGATAAAACCATAAGATGTGAATAATAATAAGAAAAGAAGAAGAAAAAAAAGGAAGGGTAGAAAGTGGTGTTGGTGAAAGTGGTGATGGTGGTGATGGTGGTGGTAGAAGAAATAAGAATAAAATAAATATTCAAGAAAATTTTATTGACAAATAATATCATTTTTAAATATTATTAATAATTATTTTATTCAATTCGTACTATCACACAGTTTTATCTCGTATATGAAGATACTCATTAAAAAAAAGAAAAAAAAACAAAAGAAAAATTAATGAGAATAATTCTCGGAAATTTTGATTAAGTCATACCGATTAATTTTTCATTAAATCGAATAATAATAATAATATTTATTTGTAATAGTTATCGTTTAATTATACAAACGCGAATAGAATCTAATTTCAAGAGTTGTTTGTAATCATTTTCTTTCTTTTCTTTTTTTTTTTTTTTGACACTTCCATTTTACGAATAATTGCGAGTAATTGGTTTTCTCACAATTTTTATAAACATTTCGTTTTTGTTCTTATTATTATTATTATTATTATATTCGATCGAATAATATATAATATTTCAATAAATTGTGATAGTAAAAAATGTTTTATTAAAAATATTTCTAAGATTATTATTGGCTGCGCGTGTTCGATTATACGAGAATTTTTGGAAAGATATAATAGGTTAGATAAGTTTGTATCCCAAGGTCACGTTCGAAACCAGGAACATAACCCATACGTATTTTGTAAGAAAAGTCTTCTTTATCTGTCGTATAATTTATCCAAACTTCATCCCAATCGGAGATAATAATAATAATAATAATAATAATTACGTGACTATTGGATATTACGCCGGACAATTTATTATTTGATATATATATATATTTTTTTTTCATCTTTTCTTTTCCTTTTCTTTTCCGATTTGCAAGAATAAATTTATTCGAGTTTAATCGTTCGTATTAAATTTGTTAGTCGGTTGGAGTTTCGTTCGATATCATCGCCATTAAAACGGGGTGAAAATTTTTTTCCCAACCCCCACACCCTTCTTTTCCTGAAAAACTTCGATAACTTTTCGAATTAACAAAAAAAAGTTTTGCGGAAAAAAGTACACCGAGTGATTTTATTTTTGTTCTTATACCAAATTTATTTTGTTTATATTTGTTAATGTTATCGATGTTGCTTACTTAAACCGACTTCGTTGTTGTTAATGACCCGAGGAATCGTCAAATTGTAAAAGAAAATAAAAAAAAAAGGAAAAACTAATCGACCAACTTTGTGTTCTCTCGGGTTTTTAATCCGATAAATGTATATTTAAAATATCTCTTAAGAAATTTCTCTCGGAAATTGTCGTTTAAGTTTTTCTGCGTGATTCTTTTTCTTTTCCTGCGCGTATCGTAGAAACAAGATAATGATAATAATAATAATAAGAAGCAGAAGAAGAAGAAGAACAACAAATGAAATAATCATCTATAAAATGAGTTTACGATTATTATTATAAATATTACGAATTATAATAAAGTGAATTTTAGAATTAATTGAACGAATTATATTAAACTCGGAGAATATAAAAAAGAAAAAAGAAAGAAGAAAAAAAGGAAGGAAAGAAAGAAAGAAATAAGAATACATCGTAAAAAGATAATATATATTAAATTTGTTATTAAATTAAATAAACGACAGAGATAAAAGATAATATTTAAGAAATGAAGGGAAACTTAGAAAAAGTATATTATCATCGTACACCATTATCATATTTGAGAATAAATTTCATTCTCTTTATATATTTTTGTTTATACGTTAAATTAACAACCGGTAATTATTATCAAATGAGAAAATGTTGTTTGTCGGAAGATTTATTCACAAACAGATCTACAATCGATTGTATCACGGAATACAATGACAACGTTGAATTGTATAGTTATTCGGATATTAAAAATTTGCAAAGTTACGTTATACCTAATTGCGATAATATGAACAATACTATGAAAATTTATTTGGATGGGATCAAATCGGACGATTTGAATAAGACTCGTCCATGTTTGGATATTATTCAACGTGATAATATTTTACCAAAGGAATTACCAATATTAGTTTATTGTCATTTAAATGAAAACAATACGTATAAGATAACAAACGAATTGTCAACGATAATTACGACAATAAGAAGATGTTGTCCGAAAGATATGATTTATGATCCAAATGATAAATCGTGCGTGCCGTTGAACTATTCAATATCCGAATTTCAATTATCATTGATAAATAATGATAATAATAATAAGGATGATAATATGATTAATTATTTTGAGGATCCATTTATGTCTTTATTACCAATCGTTAAACCAAAGGATTTTGTTTTGGCTGTTACGAGAGGACCACCATATTGCCAACACGCCATATTTGATTTTCACATAACCTCAAACGATCTCGTATACGACGATGGATTTTTCAAAGTGAGTATTATATTACTTATTTTATGTGTGTGTGTGTTTTTTAATTCATGTTTTGTTTTATAAAAGATTTAATCGAATTTTCTTGGAATTAGAATATATTTTTGGATTAATCTTGAATTAATTCTCGTAATAATCTCTTTGCACATAGCTTTTCGTGCATATGTCCTATCAAACGTTACCGATGTTTGTTTGCATCGTGTACACGTTCTGTCGTATTTGAACGATTTATTTGCAAGTTTGCGCAGCATAAACAGATCAACGTGTGCACATACTACCAGTGTGGTTACATTTTTAAATCGTAGTTATTATTAACAAAAAATAAATATATATATATATACATACACTAATACACATACACGCGAAATAAATAAATGCGACCACACGAATGTACATACCTAACATTGC